AGACGGGACAAGCGAGCGTGGGTGAACTCCCTGACAGACGAAGGGGAGGAAGCCGCAAACACTGACGATATACGCCTCCTCTACGATATCTCACGACGCCTGAGTGGGGCAAGGATGAACCCGAGAATGCCAGTGAAGGACACGACTGGACAATTGCTTACCGACCCCACTGACCAGCTGAAACGCTGGTTTGAGCACTTCGAACAACTTCTTCAATTTTCGACGGCCAACCAGCCATCAACATCTCGCCATGATCCGCCTAGGGTGCGGCGCATCACTCGCGTCAATTCCGAGGCCCCATCACTGCAGGAGATTGAAGCACCTATCCGAAGCATGAAATCCAACAAGGCTCCAGGGTTCGATCGCATATCAGCAGAGATGCTCAAAGCTGACCCCATGCTATCCGCACAAATGTTGCATCAACTATTCTGTAATATCTGGGACACCGCGACTTTTCCGGCAGGGCATCCCTAATAAAAATTGTATGGTTAATTTGCTTAACGACGTGTTCTGGGTATCATCCAAACCATTTGTGGAATAGTTCAATGATTTGGGTTATCGTTCGTTTATGGTTATTTTTTATTAGGGATCTTAGTGAAGGTCCCAAAGAAGGGGGATCTGACTGTGTGCGACAATTGGTGAGGCATCATGTTACTGTGTATTGTCCTCAAAGTTCTTTGCAAAGTTATCCTGAATCGGATACAGGAGAAGATCGACGCGACTCTCCGACGGCAGCAGGCAGGATGAATCTATATTCTCTCGCACGGACATCACAAACTAACACTTCTTCCTTGTGTGGCACGTTTCATTAGGTTCCTAGATTCGCCTCAATGCATTACCAATGCATGAATTTGTATTTTGTGTGGCAAGCACAATGATACTCTATGCCCAGGGAAGTCGCGAAAATTTTCAACCCGAAAGATTCCCTCGACCGGACCGGGAATCGAACCAACCGCTTTTGGCTTGGTAACACCGTGCCTTTACTGACTAGGCTATGAGACCCCGGTAGAAAACTCATCGGTAATATTTTAAACAATGCAGCGGTTGTACTTAAAAGTTGATTTACTTTTTTTTTTCCTTACTTTGTTTTCCGTCGATCTTGTTTTCCGTACTGAATACCAATGCTACCGACGCCAGGGAGCCAGCTCCCACACAACGGCTTTACTTCCCTTCCGAAGGAAGGCATGATATCAGAGATTTTATGCCCCAGAAATACCCCACAGGCACCGACTGGGATTGAAGCCCAGGCCTTTTGGGATGAGAGGTAATCACGTTTACCACTAAACCACCGGTGCCGCAGTTCATTCACTGTTGGTATCGATTCCATGTTCACACAAACGGCACCATTTGAAATATTTAAAGAGTTTTAAGGATATAGATTTTAAACAACGAAAAGAACTAAGCACAAAAACAAGTGTACCGACCAATCGCGGTCCTACATCAACCTTCCGTTCGTGCCCCTAGGCACAGACTCTAGTACTTTTTTTTTCATTTTCATATCTTTCATGTAAGCTTTGGGAACTTGTCTAATAAAATTGGGGTAAATTATATAAGAAAGGTTTTGTAAACCTGTTAGATGACTAGAAAAAAAATTGGGTCATCTTTGGGTTACAATACACAATTTTTGAGTTAAAAAAATATTTTTATTTTTTTGCTTCGATATAACGTAACTCGATATAACGTAACGTTGCTTTATATCGAGGTACGACTGTAGTACAATAATAGGGGAGATCGGAGTAAAATCGCCAGGCAAACGAAGATCCCAGTGTAGTCCACAAAGTGAATCTATATGAATATGCAATGCCATATAAAGTCTGAAACGCGCAAAAATTGGTCAACTTCAAATTGGTGTTTTCTGTTAAAAATGCATTAAAAAAACTGAAATGCTGCATTTGGAAGTTGAGTGTATATACAATGGTTGCTATGATGAGTTTTCACCGTTTGCTCTCCAGTTTTCAAAATGACGTAAAAGCAAGAGGAGCAGCGTGTCAAAATTTTACTCGCGCAGCTAGGGAATCCGACGTTCTCACACGCCAAGTTGGCAAAATTGCTGGATGTGGCCAAATCGACCGTGATAAACGTTTGAAAAGTGTTCGGGGAGCGTCTGTCGACCGCCAGGAAGCATGGAAGCGGCGGCAATCGTAATCCGGACGTGGCAGCGACGACGAAGAAAGTGGCGGTGAAATTATAAGTGGAATCCTAACCTCTCCATCCGGGAAGTCACTGGTAAGTTCAATATCTCCCAGACTACTGTGCAGCGGGCCAAGAAACGAGCCAGGTTGTCGACGTTTAAGAAGGTGAAGGTGGCGAAGCGAGATTACAAACAAAACACGTCGGCAAAGCAGCGGTCCCGAAAGCTGTATACGAATCTGCTCACAAAGTTCGACTGTGTCGTCATGGACGACGAAACTTATGTGAAGGCGGATTTCAAGCAGCTTCCGGGACAGGAGTTTTATACCGCATCAGGAAAAGGGAAGGTGGCTGAAATTTTCAAAACCATCAAACTATCGAAATTCCCGAAAAAATATCTCGTCTGACAGGCCATATGCACGTGTGGTCTAAAAAGCGGCATTTTCATTACTACGGGAACCATAAATCAAGAGATGTACGTCCAGGAGTGCCTGGAAAAGCGGCAGCTACCATTCCTAAATCAACATAATAGACCTGTGCTGCTCTGGTCGGACTTAGCGAGCTGCCATTATGGGAAAAAGGCAATCGAGTGGTACTATGCGAACAACGTGGTTGTGGTACCCAAAGACCACAACCCTTCCAACAGCCCAGAACTCCTCCCAATGGAACGGTATTGGGCCTTGGTCAAACGGAATCTCAAAAAGAAAAAAGAAAAACTAATAAATCCATGGAAAACGAGCAGCAGTTTAAATCTAACTGGCGGTCGGCGGCGAATAAGGTCGATGAGACCACTGTGAAAAATTTAATGGAAGGGGTTAAGCGGAAGGCACGGCAGTTCGGATTTTTCAAACCAAAAGAATAAACGAACATTTTTTCCTTTAAATATATGAATTGAACTACCAAAAGAAAAATAAGAAGATTTTTGTTGTATGAATTTTGACTGAAAGAAACGATTTTTTTGTCGACCAATTTTTGCGCGTTCCAGTCTTTATTTGATGGATTAGGCTATTTGGCTAGATATTACAAATTATATGCTTAACAAAAATTGATAAGTTTTTGTTTAAATTGGTGAAATTCAAAGGCATACAAAAACCTGTTTTCAAATGAATGAGGGCAAAATGCGACACTGAAGCATGCATTAAGGCTTTTTTTACATTGATTTGTTTTCCGTCGATATTGTTTTCCGCACCAATGTTACCGACGCCAGGGAGGCAGCTCCCACACCTGGCCCCTACCTATCGACCCATCAACTCATGAACCGGGGACCAACGGCTTTACTTCCCTTCCGAATGATGGCGTGATCATAGATTTTATGCCTCAGAAAATCCCGATGGCGCTGACTGGAATTGAACCCAGGCCCTTTAGAGTAAGAGTTAGTCACGCTTACCACTACTCCACCGGCACCACTTTTTGTTTGTTTTTCTCTGAAAGTGATTTGTTTATGTGAAGAAAGAAGACAACGAATGAATCTTGAATGTGAAGAGAGCTGAGATTAAATTCATGCTGTTCTGCTCAGTATGCAAAAACGGTCCCTCTAAAGCCACCGATCGCCTCATATCACATCACATAACTTATGACCTAGTTGTTGGTTTTTACTCATTCAAGCAATGTGACTCTAAAACTCTTTAATATGAAGTACCAGGGATTGATCCCACGGTTTTCTGCTTTGTATGCAAAAACGGCAGCCAAATTCCTCATATCACACTACATCACTTACGATCGAGTTATACCCTGGACAGACTATGGCTTCTTCTTCTTCTTCTTATTCGCATTTCAAGCTTATTGCTTAGCGCATATTAGCTTATTGGGTGCTCTCAACTTAGTGTTCTAAATGCACTTCCACAGTTCATGAACATGAGTGCTCATTGCAAGACAGCCTATATTACATGATATATGCCATAGTCTGTACGGGGTATTAGTATTATAACCATTTGAACCCGATGATGGCTCTCCTTACACCAGTATAAGCCACTGCGACCGACGGTCACTTATACCCGGAGACATGAGGATACGGAGACAAGTTTTGTTAAGCCGGCGTAGTTTCCTGCTGAGAATGATCGTTTATGACGTGCTGAGTAATCAAATTGTTTGCAGTAGTTTGCTTCAGAACATCAATATCCACGATCCCTACTATATAATGACGTGTATGAGGTATTTGAGTTTAATATTAGTAGAGTAGTTTTTAAGAATATAATTAAGTATTTTTAAACAGCCTGTGTGTCATAAAAAGCTTCTTATAAATCAGAGAAAAAACCGTACATTTATGTCACAGCATCGCACAATTGTGCAGAAAATAATATGGATATTTATGTAACGCATTACTTGCTTAAAAATACTTAAACAATTTGTGCGTGATTTGTTTGAATTATCACCCCTTTATGAGCACATTGGGGATCCCACATGTTGTAATCTAAGACACAGTGCACAGCAGTTAAGTGCATAAATGCGTGAGAGCTATTGCTATTACCAGATGATATACACCAGACAAGTTGGTTGGATCTGGAGTTTTGATGATAATTTGAAATCAATTGTTATAATTCGGATAAATTTACTTCGTACAGAAAATTGAAATCTCGATCGAATTATTATTTAATTGATAGTTGATTATTGGGATCTTTACTGAAAAATTTCTTAATGAAAACTTAATTGGTTACAAACGGCTCCCTTCACGTAGAGACCGTGGTTTGAATCCTCTTGATACGATGCGATGTAAGCCATTAGATTCACGTCTTCTCCGTGTCTGTGCTGATAGCAACTTTCACTCTATTTCACATAACTCTTCTTCACAGTCCATTTACAAGCGCACAGAAAGCTCCGTTTGCAAAAATATACTGCCACTTGACTGCTTCCACCGGGAACGAAACACTTACATGCCTCCCCATCCCACTGAACCACACTCAATTCTGAACGAACGCGGGGAGAGTAAAATCACAGCATCCATTCACTGACGAGTCCTACGGTTTTTCCTGCTTTTCCGAACAATAGGCCAGTTAATTGTTCACTTTTTTGACGGTTGCAACTAGCAGTGGGGGGTAGTATCTTCAAAGAATGATAGCTCTTTTCTTCGGGCACTAAACTCTAAACACAAAACTGATGAACCTTACACAAAAACAAGCTGCGACCGAAAAAAGGAACAGAAGGACAAAAGTTTCTGATAAAGGAATGCAAACAGACACTGGCAGTACACGCAAACACTCGACGCAAGATATGCTCACTGATAAGAGAAGGGATCAGCACACACAAGGAGCAAAAAGAAAAAGAAAAAAAATAGAATAACAGCACGAGGAGCAGTTGATAGTGAAACAGTACAAAAAAATGAGTGCTTGAAACACTCAACCGCAGGTCGGAGGAAGAAGCGATTTCAGAAAACACGACCGAACGGTCCCAGCATCGGATACGAACTGAAATCAAGGCGCCACGACGAGATGCTGCTGCTCGTCTCCCAACTCTGAATGAATTCGTACGGATGATGAGGAGCAGATAGGAGCCGCCAGACGACAGGCGAAGCGACGAAAAATGAAAACAGAGCATGAAAAGTCGGAAAGCTCTCATCCTGCTGAAGATAGAATGAAAGATGAGAGCAGGAGGGGATAGATGATGCTCAGTCACATGGATGGCGGTTTTCCGCGCGCTTGGGCGACGAGTTTCCCATCTACACGCTGTGTGATTGTTGACCATGATGACGACGACGACGACGACAACGTCGACACTGATGATGGGGGGGTTCATCGTTATCTCCCAAACGCTTGTTCTCGCTTCGCTTGATTCTCAATTGGCGAGACGCGCGCTCTCCATTGAAGTTTACCAAAACAAACAGAAAGAACAGCCTGTTGGTACTTGAGTGCACTGTGGGTGAGAATTTAGAGTTGGAGTAATTTAATTAATTTGCATTCAATTTAATTTAATTAGGGAAAAGTTTTCCAGTCGATGTTTGTGGTACCACGCGTCTCCATAGTTTAGCCTCTTATTTCATGGAAGCATGCTTTGTTGTAAGTTAAGTATCCTTGTTTAAAAAAAAAAGTGTTTCGCCGACATTGTTGTTAGGTTTAGAACACGGCAAAGTGGTCCCAACTATAGTCGCTGTATTCATAGTCTGGCGAATACAAAAACCAAAAAATGGCAACCTTGAATTTGGAACCAAAATACTGCCACCACGGAAAAATATTGGAGTTGAACCTGGGGGTAAGTCACTCTGCCATCTTGTGTCTGTGCTTATTGTGGGTCATGTGTGTTTTTGGGTGTTGGAAAGTGTTTCTTCGAGTCGATCGAGCTGTCAAAACATCAACCGAAAAAATATGCTTACTGGCAACCATATCCTCGACCATAACAAAACGCTGAAAATGACGGACCAGCGACTCCTTTGGTTAATGCAACAAAGTACATCACTATCGAAGATATTCGAGGAAAATGGGAAAGGCGAACTAAAACAGCTAGTTCAATTCATAAAAATGTACAAAATTCAGCTCTAAAAGACAACATACCATAAACGGAACACTACCATTAACAACTACAAGAAGCACGATCACAGAGGCAAGGTGGACGGAACCCGGTAGTGATCTAGAACTCCAAGCACCTTACTGTTGCTGTGACACTCTCAACCTATCAAAATGAATTCATCGGAGCATTCTGACGGATCCAGGCAGCCTTTTCCACTTTTTGAAATTGTAATTTATTTAGTCAAACATAATCCTGGTTGAGACGTTCACTTTTTCACTACGTACAAGCAACATATAGCACACGACAGTGGCCACAATACGACCACTCATTCCCAAGGATCATCCAACCATTCCCTCCTCCACAGTTGAGATTGATTACATTGCGCAAAAGAAAAGAACTCGCATTCACACGCACAAAAGTGCCCAGGTCCATCGGATTTCAACGAATCACGAAACGCTGCATTGCCAACTGTCTACATACCAGTATCTAGCTGTCTTTTCAACCCTAATCCTCGCCATAATTAATGCGCTCTCGTAGGTCCGATCGTATCCAGTCATGATTATTCCAGGTCGTGGAATACGGTGAACGTGTCACTTACCGTATCCCGAGTGGTTTTCTCCATCGAAGTCCGGTTGGCAGTGATGCCAGAATTGATGAAAATTATCTCATTATTGGCAGTGATGCCAAAATTGATGAAAAAATTAGCTTTCCATGTGACGGAAGGGTGTTTGAAGTGTGACGAAGGGTGTTTTTGTGGGTGTTAACTCAAGGTGGCAGAGTGACTTACCCCCTGAGTTGAACATAACTCTTTGAATATTGGTGAAAAAGTTAACAAGTCAGCTTTTTGCATCGTCGCAAAAATTAAATGCATCTATAAAAATTGCATCAGCAACTGGTGGATGAACATTAAAAACATTGCTTTGCGAGTTGCCTTATGATTTTGCTGTGTCTGGAAGTGTGCAGTATAGGTTAATATCACCATACAGAGCTGAAGCTTTAATTAATTTACGATTCATTCATATTTTCAGTTGCACTTCGATGAATATGATTTGAATTTGTCACCAAGTGGAAACATATTGAAGTTAAGTGATCCAGTTGCTGTGCTGAAACCCGTTCCACAGTTTCGAGAGAAAAAGAAGTTGATTTCCTTTACTGATGGTGATGATAACCGACTTCCGAAAAGCTGTGATGCAAGTAGTCAGAATAGAACAGGGGGGATTTTATTCCGTCTTCAATATTTTCAAATGCAATGTATCCTATATTTACTAATACATTTTATTGCATCGGAAGAAAAGCAAAGAAGAGAACCGGATTCTAAAAAGAAAACTTGAGGATGTGAAATGTACGACAGGCAAGGATCAGTACCAGTTGCTTACCACGGGAATAAAAAAAAAAGAAGAAGGGTCTATGCCTAGGGGCACGAACGGAAGGTTGATGTAGGACCTCTAGTAGACGGAACAAATATGTTGATCATTTAGTTCTTAACTCCTTCCGTTTTTGAATTGGTGGCCGGTTGTTTTTCAAATGGTGTCCACACCAGTGCAAGTTGATGCCGACCGGATGACGGCGGCTCGGACGGCGGGAAACCTTTCGTCCGGTCGATGCGAGTGTTTTCGTCGTCGTCCGTCGTCTTCGTATTGGTGCGATGCGTGCTGTTTCACTCATATATCGTGTTCGACGCTTATTCGTCCGTTGCTCGAAAGCAAGTGACGAAGAAAACGATTTGGCAAGCGTTTGCTGCTTTTCTCCTCCCTTCTTTTCATTGGTGAAAAGATGAGCGGTCAACCGAGCATTGAGCTCGCTCATGTAAGCATGGGCAATGTGTTGTGTCCGATTTGTGCTCTATCGTTGCGTCAGTGTTTGGGATTCTTCGTTACATGTCTGAATTTTATATATTTTTTTAATATGACCCCCAGTATAGAAATTAAAGACGTAGTCCTATGTCAAAAATCAAAAATGGTTCAACGAGAGCATTATCGAAGGATTGCAGAACAGATTTGCTTGCGGTCATACTGCCTATGAGGCTGATCGAAGAAAAAAAAAAAACTCACCAGCAGAACACGTCGGGAACAGATGCAAGAGTTGCATCTCGAAAACGATGTTCTTGGAAAAGTTTTCGAGCTCCTTAGTCACAAAGTGAGCAATATTAAGGACGCAAACAGGCATTGTGGGTTGGTGTTTGATGAGATGGTCATCCAACACGGTGAAAATTTCAGCAACAACCTTAAGAAGTACGTTGGCAAGATAACCCTCCCCGGCCATGAAGGATTAGCAAACCACGTGATGGTATTGATTCTCTGCTTGACCGTCAAGCAGTTGAGTCCGGTTTTGGCTCGTTCTGTCGAAATGTTCGAGTTGCGGGTTTATTAGCGTCATCGCCGGTCGAATCGTGTGATGTGAAGGCAGCGCGAAAGTGGAGAACAGTGGTGAGGGTAGCTCGTGCGTACCTATCACAGGAACGCTACTCTTCCCACCGATGTTGGGTATGCCCAACCAGCGGAGATGAAGCGGACGAAAAAAGGAAGAAGAATCAAGGCCAGTTTGATGGTTTGAGTGGACGCGACACCGTGAGGAACGTCAGCGACATCGATGATTTTGCCGATCATGAAAATTCTGCCGGCCCAAGTGCGGCAAAAGTTAAGCTTCCTCCACTGGTGGTGATGAAAGTGCCACTCACCACGCTCATTGGCGATCTCCCATCGCTGGGCGTTGCAGTAGAATTCAAGCTGAGCAGGATCGGCACCAAGGTGATGCTGCGTACCAAAGCGGAGTATGAAGCAACCGTGAAGTACCAGGGCGGAATACTTCACACATGATATCCCCGGTGAGAAGCGCCCTTTAAGGTAGTCATCGGGGGCCTACGGAACTTCGACCCCAAGACGATCGAAGAAGAACTCAAGGACCGTTACAAGCTAGCCCCAATTGCAGTCTTCCGGATGACAAGGAGAGATGAAAACGTGAAGACGTACCCGGATTGTCTTTCCCGATGCATTTCCAGAAGGGAACGGTGACGCTCAATGCGTTGAAGGCCATCCGCACTATCCATCCAGACCAATGCTGCCATCGTGTTGACGTAAGCTGTCAGGCAGAGGCGAGATCTTCCAATGCCGAGGGAACCAACTGCAACCGAGGAGTAGATGTGGCTGTTCTGCCAATGCCTGCAACACTCCCCGACTCGTAAAGCTGCAGGTTCGCTTCCGGCTCAGCTTTACTCTTTGGTTGCACATCCAGCACAGCAATCTTGCACACAGGACGGCGAAGAACTCCATTGGCCATCACGTCCTGTTACCACCAAGATGATGCGACCTTGGGTCCATCCGTTACGTACGTTTTTATCCTCCACTATTTTGTCCGCCTCGAGACGCTTGGCAAGTATTCTTGTGTCCACCTCTTCCAGAACTGGTCAATAATTTGTCTTGCCATATCCCAGTAGGTACGGAAAACTCCTTGGGATTCAACCAGTGGTTTCCTTGCTCGGACAACCCCAAAAGAACTCAGGTGAATAAAGTGGTTCGGCGTCAGAGCCTCTTGTTCCGCTGATTCTAGAGGAATAAACGTTAGTGGCCGTGAGTTGATAATGGCACTGACTTCAGCAATAATCGTGCGTAGGGTTTCTTCGTCCGGGTTCCCCAAGCTTGACAGTGACGCAAGAGCAACCTTATCGGAACGTACAAGTCGCTCCCACACTCCCTCAAAGTGTGGAGCGGAGGGCGGGTTGAAGACCCATTTCGTTGTTGATGGCTTGGATTTCCTGCAGCAGCTCGTGACTAGCACCCTAGGAGTTCGTCCCATTGTCTGTATAGATCTCACTGGGCGCACCTCGATAGGCCACGAAGCGACGGATGACCATTTTGGTGGATGACTCTGACGGACAGGCAAGTGAACAAGGCCACCCATCTTTTCACAGTGCAAAATTTGGGAAATTTGAAATCATACGACACACCCGATGCCGC